CGAAAGCAATTGATGCAGTACGTCCCGTCCGGATCTGCTGCCAAAGATTTACGATCAGATTGGAAGTACTTCAGCCAACTTAAATTTTTGGATATACATGTGAGCCATCGAAGGTAATTTTAACACAAACATTATTTTAAATTCTGCCTCCAAATATTTTATATTGTATCTCTAGGATTCATATATATATATACTCAAGTATAAATATTATTTTAATTGATAAAATTATCAGGGTATATGTAAAGTAATGAGTTTTTAAAATCTTATTTATTATATAACCATTAAAATAGAACTATTAATCTATAACTATGTAATTAAATTTTTATGTCTCAATATTTTTGGATTTCATTTACTCCCGATTTTTTGAGTTGGACTTTTTCTCTACACACTTATTTTTAAATATCTTTATTTAACAAAAATCTTAATTAAACAAAATTGCAAATAAACTTTTTTTATTTCTACTGACAATAAATTATGAAAAATTTCTTAGAAATTCCTTTAATAAAATAATCAAAACTCCTCCTAAAATGATTCACCCGGCTAGAAGTTCAGGAATTAACATAGGTAACGTTATCTCACAAATTTTAAGTAATATTTAGACAAAAATCTAATTTTATTTATATAGATAATATAAATAATAGGTAGACCATAAAATTGATAAAAATTTTATTTTAATTTGAAATATTAATATTTAGAACGATAAGTAACTTCAAACTCGTGAAAGGAACTAATGAGAGTAGCGAGGAAGAAAGTGATAAAGATGAAGATTCACTCGATTCGGATATCGAAGACATCTTTCAAGAAGGTACAATCTGTATACCTAATTCATAAAATTTTTCAAATTTGATGCAATTCAAAATATAACGTGAAACATTGATTTCATTCGTAAATGTTAATAAAATCAAACAATATTAAAACTTTAGTTACAAATTTTACTTGGTAAACTTTAATTTCACTAATTATTTGGACAGTTGCAAAAACTTTTACTTGGCGACACTTTTTGTATCAAAGATGTTTCTGAAAAAGAGATGATTAATAATAAATCGGAAATTAGTTATAAATATCTTCTTTTTCAATTCTTTAAAAAAAAAATTCAAATATTTTCAAAAATACGAAATTTATTAAAATTTCCTGAAATGTATATCGAGATTTTATTTTATAATTTTTCTAATTAAATTTTATGCTCTAATTTATAATATTCCAGTATATTTAACAAATATGTTTAGAAGTTTTGGCTCTACGTTTGTCTAAATGCTAAAAAGTACCTATCTATTTTTTTTAGTTGTCTTTGCTTAAATTCTATAAATATATAAAAAATATTGAATAAACTTAACAGAATTCTTCTTTTTATCATTCGTCATCGGACAAAAAAATTGAGAAAAATTAGTTAAGATTTACTAGATTTATTTAATTTTATCTATTAATAATTGCTTTAAATTATATTTTAAAACTGTTCAAATAAAACAGCTTTTGTTCAAAAATCAATTACGCAATTAGGAAATTATATATTTTCAGATTCGAGTAATCGCCAAGAAGAAGGAGAAAAAGAAACGAAAGAAAAGAAATCCGACAATTACATACAAATTTTAAAAGAATCTTGGATGAACGTTCCAGAAAACAAAAAAGTTGATTGTTTTAATGCAATTTTAGCAATAATGCAACAAAAAAATAATTGAGTTTTAGTTATGTATTTCCTTTCATTGTAATAATTATCAAATACCGCATAAATAACACAGGCCTGTAAATTTTGGCTTAGTTCTGTTACAGAAAAAGTGTTAGGTTATTCTTATAGCTTTTTTGACGTAGAATACGAATCCGATTTAAAAAATGGCCCATCACGTCAGGATTTCTTGTAATATTGCCTTAAATAGCAAAAAAATGGCTATTTTGAACATTTTTCGGAATTTTTTTTGGTTAACGAAAATTTTTTATCAATTTTCGAAATTGCATCGTATAGTACACTATGTCTAAACTTTAAAACTCATTTTTCAAAATTGTTTTACGATTTTCAAAAAAAAAGTTATGTAGATTTGAAATTAAATGTCACTTTGAACTTTTTTTTATACCTACATTTTCCTAGTAAATAAAAAAATTTCAAATCTACATAACATTTTTTTAAAAAATCGTAAAGCAATTTTCAAAAATGGTGTTTAAAGCTTAGACATAGTACTATATGATGCAATTTCGAAAATTGAAAAAAAATTTTTAGTTAACCAAAAAAAATTCCGAAAAATGTCGAAAATAGCCATTTTTGGCTATTTAAGGCAATATTACAAGAAATCCTGACGTGATGGGCCATTTTTGAAATCGGATTCGTATTCTACGTCAAAAAAGCTATAAGAATCACCTAACACTTTTTCTGTAACAGAATTTGTTCGTAAAATATTATATTTTTTATTAATTTTTGTTAATTTCTTAATTATTAATTCGAACCTGCAAATGTCTCGGCCATGTACCTTTTTTTGCGTACCTATGTTACTTTTTCAAAGAATAAAGTTTAAGTTTTTGGAAAGCAAACTTTTTGTAGATTGAATTTTGTGACAGTAGGATTCTGTTTTGTTGTTCTTTTTTTCAGAATAATTGAGGCCTTGGATCCAATAACTCGCCCGACGCTCGGAGGAACGCGCAACTGCCAGTCAGTGAGCAGTGAGCGCCTCTGGGCCACTCACTGCTACCCGACTGGTATTAGCGCGTGCCTTCGAGCGTCGGGCGAATTATTGGATTCAAGGCCTCAATTTAATAAGTACTAGAAAAAATTTGTTTAAAATTTTTTATTGATTAGAAAAGAATTTTTTAAAATAATTATTTATTTCCAAAGGTTAAAAGATGTAAGAAATTTTAGTTTATAAGTGCTTTACATTTTTTTCATAAAATGAAAAATATATAAATCAAATAAGCATCATTATAGAAAACTTATTTCACGTAATTCCAAAAAATATTAATTGAATTCAGCACACACTTTTCTTTAGCATAATGAACTTTTTATAAAATAATACTCAAATTTAAAGTTCACACATTTTATATAAATATTTAAATTCATAATGTTTATAATATTCATAATTTTTTTCTCAATAACTGACTGACTTTTATTTTTTTTGTTTCTTGGAAAATAAAAAAATATAAATTTAATGATCTTCTCAACGATAATAATATAATATATATTAATAATCGTTATATTTTGGTAATCTCTTTACATTTTCGTGTTAGTTGTTGTTTGCTTTTTAGTTTCCTAACTTTTTAAAAAAAGTTTCTTTTTTAATTTTTCAATTTTAAAATCAACATAATAATTTATTGAAAAATTTGATAATAATTGACTTTCTACGAAGATTTTTATTATTTATGAAAATAATTTAATTCTTGCAATGAATTTTATTAAAATTTTGCAAATAAATTCTTGTGAAGAATTTATTTCAATTTTTTTAAATAATAGAGTTTTTTTTAATAATTTTAATTGAAAAAATTTACAGTAATGGAATTTTATTAACAATTTCTCTCAAGTTTTTAAAATAATCATGTTTTTTAATAATTGAAATTAAATTATTGAATTTTATTAAAATTTTTAGAAAATACTTAATTTCTTCTCAGAATTTTATCACAATATTCTGAAATAATTAATTTCACTAAAAATTTTTTAAAAAATAAATTCTATCATGAAATATTTTAGTAATTGTAATTAAAATCATTGAATTTTTGCAAAAAATTGTACTATTTATGAGAATAATTAAATTGTTTCGAAGGATTTTAAAAGATAACTAAATTCTTTTTTAAAATTTTGTAACGAATTAAAAAAGCATTGAATTATTTCGGAAAATTGATTGAAAATCATGAAATTATTGAATTTATATTTTATAATTTGCATAATAAATTTTTATTATTTTGCTAAAAAAACATTTATTTTATTAAGATTAAATAAGAAGAGTAATAATCAGTAATAATCCATAACTTTGGAAAAGATAACCACCATTTCAATTGACATTTCTGAACAAGAAACGCCGTGGAAACGAAACGCGCGTAAAATCCGTAACTTGCGTCATATTTGACTGAAGATGACAGTAGCTGGGTGCACGCCGGTGCGCACCTCGAAGTTTACAACCTCTATAGCAGAGTCTACAATGAGAGAAGGTGCTCATCGGTGTTCATAGCTATAGGTATACTAAAGCATGCTGTGGTATATCTATAGCTATGAACATCGATGCGCACCTTCTCTCATTGTAGACTCTGCTTATTGTGGACTCTGCTTGAAATACTTCGAGTGGTCAAGACCACTCGAAGTAACAGTTCCGTCTACGAATTTCAAAGTTTATCATGCGCAGTAGTGACATATCTACATTGATTGTGAGGAAAACAAACAGTTTGAAAAAAATAAATTCAGAAATATCAATTATTTTAAAAGTGCAAAAGTGTGTGATTGTATTGTATAAATACAGAAGCCAAAAATAATGGAAGATAAAATTTCGCTGTACTCCAAAGACAATAACCTGCAAAATATGAATAAATTTATTTAAAAAGAACCACCAGTCCACTTAAACTATTAATTATTATTGAAATACAATTTTTCTTTATATTAAAATATTTATTAAAATTTAAGAATGTAATATAAATATAATAAATATTTGGTAATTTTAAAAGGGACAATATTTGTGATCACGCAAAATAAAATTATAGTAAATCATTATTTTGAGAAAAATAAACTTGACCTTATAAGAAACAAAAATAATATATTAGTATCTAATCAGTTTACAATAATTTTAATTTAAAGTAAAGAATAAAAATTTTATTGTAAGAAAAAAACTTTTAATTTGGAAACAGATTAAATAATTTTAACATTATTTAAAACAAATTAAATATCATTCAATGCAGGACGACTTTTTTTATTTAGTCAATTATTTTTATATTAAAAAAATTTAAACAATATTCACAAAATTATTTAAATATAAATTTATATTAATTTAAATTAATTATCCAATTTTATTGTTTTAAAACGAAAATAATAAACTTACCCTTTCGCAGATTAACTCTTACTATCACTTTACTATGAACACTATCATTATCAATGTCACGCCAAAGTAATATCATTGGTACATTTATAAATCTACAAGAAAGTCACTATAAGTTGATGACGGCAACACTGTATAACATATTCGTATGCGAACGACAGTCGAATGCTATTTCGAGTGGTGCGCTTGAGAATAAGACTTTCGATTCGTACACGAAACTTGCCCATCGAATTTGCTCGTACACGAACGAGATTCGTGCGGTTTCAAGAATAGCGCCCCAGGCGAGTTAGTTCTCCTGTATGAGGCCTAAGCACAATAGATTCGCGAAAGTCGTTCGCGAACGCAAAGCATGAGTTAGAAAAGGACAGAGATATATTTGTGTCCTTGCCTATCTCATGCGTCTCGTTCGCGAACGACTTTCGCGAACCTATTGTGCGGTGGACTATAGACCTTTTCATTTAAGGAATCTGTACTGCGCAAGCGCGGAATATATATATAGAACTTCCGACAAAGTTTCGAGCACTTTTTGTACAAAATGCACAGTGCCAATAGTGAAAAGTAATTAAAAAATATTACTAATGAATGTAGAAAAAAAAATTAGCGTGTATTAAAAATGAGCAGTATCCCTGAGAAAAATAATCCACAAAAGAAAAAAATTGATGCACAAAAGAAATGTTGTTTTGGGAATTGCAAAAGTGATACTCGTTGCAAGTCTTATTTGACTGAAAATTATTACTTTATTTCTTTCCCAAAACCGTTTAACAGTTAGAAAATGAAATATTAGGAATGAAAATATTCGAAGTAATTGCAAAACTTGTCAAGTATGTCGAAAATGAGACCTGTTGGTAAGGTTATGTTCATAACATAACACAACCTTATTTACATGTAAACAATATAGACTTTTTTACCCTTTAAACACTGACTTCGTCTTCATAACCATATTTTTAATTGACAGACAGTATTTTTCTCTACCTGTTCAAACATTAATTTTGCTTTTAGAATGTCATTTTCATCGAGTTTTTTATTTGAATTGTTATTAGCACCGGTCGTATGAAATTTCCTAAAAATCAAATCGATCGAATATCCATTACATCGAATTTCAAAACATCGAATGCTCAATACATCGAATTTTCAAAACATCGAATGCTCAATATATCGAATTTTCAAAACGTCGATTGCTCAACACATCGAATTTTCAAAACTTCGAATGTTCATTAGATCGAATTTTCAAATCTTCGAATGTTCATTTGATCGAATTTTCAAAACGTCGAATGCTCATTTCATCGAATTTTCAAAACTTCGAATGTTCATTAGATCGAATTTTTAAAATTTCGAATGTTAAATTGATCGAATTTTCAAAACTTCGAATGCTCATTTCATCGAATTTTCAAAACATCGAATGCTCATTTTATCGAATTTTCAAAACTCTTAATGCTTATTACATCGAATTTTCAAAACGTCGAATGTTAATTTTATCGATTTTTCAAAACTTCGAATGATCATTTCATCGAATTTTCAAAACTTCGAATGCTCATTACATCGAATTTTTTAATCATCGAATGTTAATTTGATCGAATTTTCAAAACGTCGAATCCTCAGTTCATCGAATTTTTAAAACATCGAATGCTCATTTCATCGAATTTTCAAAACTTCGAATGTTGATTTGATCGAATTTTCAAAACTTCAAATGCTTATTACATCGAATTTTCAAAACTCCGAATGCTTATTACATCGAATTTTCAAAATGTCGAATGCTCATTAGATAGAATTTTCAAAACTTCGAATGCTTATTTCATCGAATTTTCAAAACGTCGAATGCTCATTTCATCGAATTTTTAAATCATCGAATGTTAATTTGATCGAATTTTTAAAACGTCGAATGTTAATTTGATCGAATTTTCAAAACGTCGAATGCTCAGTTCATCGAATTTTCAAAACTTCGAATGCTCATTTCATCGAATTTTCAAAACGTCGAATGCTCATTAGATCGAATTTTCAAAACTTCGAATGTTAATTTGATAGAATTTTCAAAACTTCGAATGCTTATAACATCAATTTTCAAAACTCCGAATGCTTATTTCATAGAATTTTCAAAACGTCGAATGCTCATTTCATCGAATTTCCAGAACTTCGAATGCTCATTTCATCGAATTTCCAAAACTTCGAATGCTTATTTCATCGAATTTTTAAAACATCGAATGTTAATTAGATCGAATTTTTAAAAAGTCGAATGTTCATGTCATCGAATTTTCAAAACTTCGAATGCTCATTAGATCGAATTTTCAAAACATCGAATGCGTATTTCGTCGAATATTCAAAACGTCGAATGTTAATTTGATCGAATTTTTAAAACTTCGAATGTTAATTTGATCGAATTTTTAAAACGTCGAAAGCTCATTTCATCGAATTTTCAAATCTTCGAATGTTCATTTGATCGAATTTTCAAATCTTCGAATGTTCATTTGATCCAATTTTCAAAACGTCGAATGCTCATTAGATCGAATTTTCAAAACTTCGAATGCTCATTTCATCGAATTTTAAAATCTTCGAATGTTCATTTGTTCGAATTTTCAAAACTTCGAATGCTCATTAGATCGAATTTTCAAAACTTCGAATGTTAATTTGATAGAATTTTTAAAACTTCGAATGTTAATTTGATCGAATTTTTAAAACTTCGAATGTTCATTTTATCGAAGAGAATTTAACATCTGAGTTTACTATCTATGTAATATGTTCTTCCTAGGGAATTTTGAAAGTGCGCGAGATTTGAAATCGTTATGGTAAGTGACAATTTTTTTTATTGAGTAAATCTTTTTTGTTTGTTTACTAATTACTTGTCAGTAAATGTTTATTATTTTGTTATATAAGTATCACTATTATTATGATTATTTTAATTTATATGATAGTTTTTATTATAAGGTAATTAAATTAAATTGTGGTTATCTATTACAATCATAGATGGCTCTAGTAATATGAATATGTGTTTTACAAATTTTTATAAATATTAATCTATTTTTAGTATAATTATTAATATTGTTATTCTTATTATTGTGTAATTGTGAATTTATTATGTATATTTAATGTAATATTGATTTATTTAGAAGTCAGTAAGATGATCGTTAAAAAAAAGTAGTGAATATTTCTTATTTGTCTAAATATTTCGCTTCTAAATGAAGAGTTCAAGTTTCTTTTATCTATTTATAATGAATGATTGAATGAATGAATGAATGAATTACTTAATTATTGTGCATAAATTAAAATTATTTTCAAATTAAATAAAATATTGTGTATTGTTATTATTTTGTTATTTCTTTATATAGTGAATATTAAATTGCATTACTCTCTACTTTAAATAAGAAATAGATTCTATATGTAAGTAATACTTAAATTTTTATTGTAAATAAATAACAAGATTCCTACAGAAATCCGAAATTAAAATTCCATACCTTTTCCATGATTTATAGGTCAAACTTTTACGACATTCCAGTGCAATTTTAAATATAATTTCATTACTTTTGGGCTCTTCGAAAATAGTTTACTTATTGAATAGCCTCGACTCTTTGATAAAAAATTTAAAATTATCTAATATTATCAAAAATTCAAATATCCGAATTGCTTAAAATTCAACATTTTTTCCTCTTTTTTTATGGGATTTAGCTTCATTATTTTTGGGCTCTTCGAAAACAGTTTACTTATTAAATAGTCTTGACTTATTATTATTATTATTATTATTATTATTATTATTATTATTATTATTATTTTTTTTTTTTTTTTTTGTAGTCGGAAGTGGAAAATCTGCGAATTCAGATACCTGGGTAATGAATTCCAGGTTATGTGGGGGTGACCGCTCTTGTTCCGGTCTACCCACTAAAAACCACTCCCGTCTTAATTTGGGACACTTGATCCACCTGCGGAACTACCGTCAGGCCTTCAACTTCGCAAATGGTGGTCCCCTTGTCCTACTCCTTAACTGGGCCTTAATCCGCCCATACAATGCGGAAGCGTGGGTGGGAGGAAAACTAAGTGATTTCCTCCCCCCATGCTCACACACAGCTGAGCACTGGATTCCTTCGGTCAACCTCGTCTTCCGTCTCTATGTTTTTCTTTCATTACTTTAATAATGAAGGATTCAATATGCCTCCACGAGTCCACGTTCTGAACCATGGTAGACACCATGTTATCGGCGTTGATTTCAAAGCCAACTGCCGTAAACATGGCCATTCTATCATGGCTCCAGTGCCCGCAATAAAAGAGAGTATGCTCCGCGTCATCTACTGCAGCGTCACAGTAGGCGCATTTTGCTACTCTCTTAATCTTAAACCTGTGAAGGTACTGTCGGAAACATCCGTGACCTGACAACACTTGTGTCAGGTAGTAGCCAACTTCACCGTGCTTTCTTCCTAGCCAAGTGGCGAGGTTGGGGATCAGGCGATATGTCCACCTTCCTTTAAGATCCCCATCCCATCTCTCTTGCCATTGTTCAAGGAGTCTACATCTCGCCTCTTTGCGGATAGCCGCTTTGGCGAGATTTCTACTCTGCTCTTGCGAGGTAACTAGATCTTTGTTACGCTGAAAGACTTCCTGTCTTTCCCTCGCCAGTAAGTCCACTGGCGGGAGACTCGCAAGAACTAGAGCAGCGCTCGTTGAAACTGTTCTGTAGGCTGAAACCACTCTCCGCGCACAACCACCCTGTGCGGAGAGTAGCTCGTCAGAGATGCCGCGGTTCTTTAGGGACTCAGCCCATGCAGGGGCAGCGTAGAGCTGCTTTGCTTGAACCACGGTCGCCACTAATCGGCGTTTCTTTTCCCTGGGGCCACCGACATTGGGCATCATCCTAGATAGGTTTCCCATACAGTCGGCGGCATTCAGTGACGTGATCTTAGAATGTTGGTCGAACTTTAATTTTCGATCCAACGTCACTTCCAGGTACTTTAAACTGTTTCCCCAGGAGACTTCAGTCTGTCCTATTCGAATCTTCGGGACCTCAAAGGATCTTTTACTTGTGACAAGCAAAGCTTCTGTCTTCTCTGTAGCCATTTGTAGGCCGTTGAGATCTAACCAGAGCTTTGCTCGTCTCAAGCTTTCGTTGACCCTTATTTCTAGAATCCGAGAAGTCCGCGCGCCACACACTATAATGACGTCATCCGCAAAGCCAACCATTATCGTATCTTCAGGTAAGTCAATTCTAAGGAAGTCATCGTACATGACGTTCCATATAAATGGACCCACCTTTGATCCTTGGGGAGCTCCGCATGTCATTTCATGTTTGAGATGACATGCATCGCTCTTGTATTCAACCCATCTGTCGCTGAGATAGTTGTCTATCATTCGCAACAGATAGGTTGGTACCCCTTTACGACGCATCGCCTTGATGCAATTGTCCCACTTTGCGGAGTTAAATGCATTACGTATGTCGATGGAAATAAGCGCGCAGAATCCCTTCTTCTTGTCCTCTTTGACTTTCTTCGCATGGTTTACAACAGTGAGTATTGCGTCGACTGTTGACCGGCCTTTACGAAAGCCAAATTGATTCTCCGATAGGCTATTTTCGCCTATCAGAATTTCCTGAAGTCTCTGCAGAACCATTCCCTCTAGAAATTTGCCCATCGTATCCAATAAACAAATTGGTCTGAACGATGTGACCTTATTCAGAGGTTTATCGCCTTTCCTGAGAAGGACCAACTTCTGCGTTTTCCAGTCACCGAAGAACTCTCCGGCTGTTAAGCACGTATTAAAGACGTCAAGAAGCAACTCAGGATCCACTGCGACAATCTCTTTTAAGATTTCGCTCGGTATCCCATCATTGCCCGGCGCTTTACCGTTTCTTAACGTCTTTGCCACCTTTTTCAATTCCTCAATCGTGAAGAACTCCTCGTCTCGTACTACGCAGTGAGTGTAGTCCTCTCCAGAGAGAGGGCTAGGTTCCGCATAGGGAAACAGTGCCTTTATGATTTTCAGGACCCAAATCGGATCATCCAAACCAGGGGTTTTATGCCTTGTCACTAATTTCTTAACGACAATCTTAAAAGCCAAACCCCACGGATCCTTCTCGGAATCTCCGATTAGGTCCCTCCAGCAACGGCGTTGGCTACTTTTCACGGCCTGCTTAAAAGTACGTCTGGCTTTATGCCATGTTTCCCGCAGCTGGAGGTTTCTCTTCGAGTGAGTAAAATGCCTCCTTGCTGCGTGGCACTCTCTCTTAAGGCAGGCCAGTTCTTCATTCCACCAGTACATAGATCCCTTTCCCGTTTTTATTTCTGCCGGCGAGGCATAGAGTGATTGCAAGCTCGAACAATCACCCGCCTCGCCTCTCGCACTACACCCTTTAAAGAAGCTGGTTTCCTCACCCAGTTTGACTTGCGAATAAGTCGCGACTCTTCTAGGGACTCCGCCAGCTTCTCCCTGTTTAGTCTCCTGAGGTTCCAAGAGGCTCCCTTGCTACCATTTTTTGGTGCGGTTCGTCCTCGAAGTTTTCCCTTAGAGACTAAAAACTCTATGTACTGGTGGTCACTCAATGTTTCCTCATCCAGTACCCTCCATTCTCTTATTCTGCGGGCTAGGCGAGGAGATGCGATTGTTAAATCAAGGATAGATCCTGATTCTCCCCTCCTGAACGTGAACTCGTGGCCCCGGTTTAACACCACCAGCCCATTCGTCGCCAGCATATCGGAAACCAAGATTCCTCTCCTGTCCAGACGAGTCTCCCCCCATTCCGGCGACTTACTATTGAAATCTCCCGCAATGAGGACATCCCCGTCGAAAGCTCTCAGGCTCTCTTCAAGCGAGTGAATCTCGGTGTCGAATTTTCCAAGTGGGTCGTTGGGCGAGAAGTAGCAGCTGTATATGCGAATACCCGCCATCTCCACCCAAACATACCCCTTGTCCGTACCTAGGAATGAACCGGCGGTGATATCCGGATTACATATATGTATTGCTGATCTACCTGATGAGTCTTGAAACCAGTTTGAGAATCCTTGCTTCTTATACTGCTCACTAATGAGCAGTATATCCACTCCTCTCTCTCTGGCAGACTGCATCAGGAGATTTTGGGCAACACTACCCTTTCTGAGGTTGACCTGGAGAAATCTTACCTCTTCTGCTTAAGCTTCTTTAGTTCTTCCCTATAGACGGGGCAGGACCCGCTTCCTGGAGCGTGCTTTGTCTCCTTCATCCCTTTGTCCTCACAAGTTGTGCAATGGGATTCCCCTGCACAGTTCTTGTGGGAATGGTCTAAGGAGCCACACTTCCAGCAAGCTTTGCTCCTATCGGGTCCTTTGCAGACCCTTGCGATATGCCCATAACTAAGGCATTTATGGCATCTTTCCACTTCCACCCTGCTGCGGATCCTGCAGTTTATCCAACCTACCTTAACTTTACCAGCGGTAAGCAGAGCATCCGCGTCTGCTTCTGGTAGTTGGATAACTGACATCTTTACTCCTCCATGCAGGGTGAAGAGTCTGCAGGACACCTCTAAATCGGTCCTGCCCAAAGCTTCTTTTAAGGCCTTAGTGACATCTTCAATACTGGTTGTCTCATCCAAATCTCTAATCTCTAGTGATCTCTTTGTCACCAGAGGTGAGACCATTGCTTTGCCTTTGAGGGCCTCGGTCAATTTGCTGCTGAACGTTGAGAACTCCTGCCCCCTTTTAAGAACGAAAAGCAGATCTTGCCTTTTCGTTCTTCTAATGGACAGAACCTCTGTTTTTGTTTCAGCAGGGTTGACCTTGGCGAAAAGCTCTTCAATAAGTATCTTTGGAGGAACTTTTCCGTCCTTCATTGATACTCTGATGGCGTCGGTATTTCGTTTCTTTTTCTGACCTTGTCCACTGGACGATTGTTTTTTCTCTTTCTTCTTCTTCTCCGTATTTTTCTTGTCTTTCCTGGAAACAACTTCGTTCCAGCCGTCAGGATTTTTTTCTTCTTTCTCTGACGGCGTAGTGGATTTAGTTTTTTCCTCCTTCTGTGTTAACATAGAGGCCGGTTTTTTTGTCTGCCGGTCCTCTGGGGATGTTGAGGCGCCTCTCTTCGTGCTTTTGGTAGAAGAGGGGGCTTTATCCCCTTTCTTTTGTTTCGGAGTGGTCAATGGCGTTTTAGGACGTGCCACTTGACCAACTCCTCGGTACCTAATAGATGGCTCCATTGATTTTTGGAGCCGATCTGCTGATGAGCGGAGAGCGAGACCCGCACTCCTAACTCCGCCAAAGATTTCCTTTGCTTCGGCCATGAACTCTCTCACTTCAGTTGGAGTATTCTTCCTAAATGAATTCTCCATAGCGAGAAGAGTTTTTTCCAGAGCTTCATTTTGAAGTCTCTGCTCCGCCATGATACCAAGCATGATTTTCCATACTTCGGCCCATGGAGGAACCGAGAGACCACCCTGTTTCGATCCAATTGCAGCAGTGCATTTCTCTTCCTCGCTTGTGGAAGGAAACTGATGCTTCGCTGCAGATGTTTCTGCAGTCTCTGTCTCCATTTTGTCTTCAGATTCACGGTCTGAAGAACCAGTGTGAGAGATGGAGATCCGGGCTTGGGACCGGTTCAAAGCGGAGTTTTGTTTTGTTTTTTATTATTATTATTATTATTATTATTATTATTATTATTATTATTATTATTATTATTATTATTATTATTATTATTGTTATTATAAATTCGAAATAAAATCACATTTTATATTAAACAAAATTATATTTTTATTTATAATTGTAGAACTACATACATTTTATTTTATAATCGTGAATAAATCTTTGAAACATTAAAAGTTGTTATACTTTTTTTATAAAATTTACATTACTATAAAAGTTTAGTGTGAGTGACTGAAAAAAACGGTGATTTTTAGGAATTTTTTTCAGGGAAATTATTGCATCTAATTTTTTATACAGTTTTGTACATGTATACATATTTGTATAAATAGTCAACATTTTGTAATTTTTTCAAAGAAAAATATTCTTTTTTAATTAAGAGTTATTCGCTATATAAAAAAAAATCCAGTTTTCCCACTGCGCTGTAGTGATTGCGGCCTTCTGAGGGACTGAAATAAAAAAAACAAAAAGTTTATTTAAGTCGAAGATATTTGCCGTACAATGAGGTTTCAGTTTTTTTAATGCATGAAAAATAAAATTTTAAAATAAAAGTAAAATAAAATCCGAACCATCGGATTTTTTTTGGCGAAAATGAAAAGCTTTTTCAAAACTCCACCATTTTGTTGCAATTCAATATTTTTTGACATCCGAGAGTCATTGTACGGCAAATATCTTCGACTTAAATAAACTTTTTGTTTTTTTTATTTCAGTCCCTCAGAAGGCCGCAATCACTGCAGCGCAGTGGGAAAACTGGATTTTTTTTATATAGCGAATAACTCTTAATTAAAAAAGAATATTTTTCTTTGAAAAAATTACAAAATGTTGACTATTTATACAAATATGTATACATGTACAAAACTGTATAAAAAATTAGATGCAATAATTTCCCTGAAAAAAATTCCTAAAAATCACCGTTTTCTTCAGTCACTCACACTAAACTTTTATAGTAATGTAAATTTTATAAAAAAAGTATAACAACTTTTAATGTTTCAAAGATTTATTCACGATTATAAAATAAAATGTATGTAGTTCTACAATTATAAATAAAAATATAATTTTGTTTAATATAAAATGTGATTTTATTTCGAATCTATATTAATAAAATCAGACTTTTGTCTGTACATTGCACGAAATTAATTTTTAATAGCATAATTTATTTATTTGAACAACGAAGAATCCAAAAATGGTAATAGAAAATTTCATGTCTGTATGTATGTATGTATGTATGTCCGCAAAATTTTGTACGCGTATAACTTGAAAACGTCTTGACCGATTGAAGTAAAATTTGGCAATCTTTTAGATATTGGTCTAACTTAAAATATTAGCTATATTTGATGAAAAAATATTGAGCTAAACAAAAGTTATGAATTTTTCAAAAATTCAAAAAACATTTTTTTTTTAATTTTTGCAGATTGGCATACATTTTTTAATTTATTAATAATTCCAATGATTATAAAGATATATAACAATAAATTAAATTAAAAAATAATATTAATATGAAAAAAAAATTATAAATTTTCCAAAAAATTCGAATTTTTTTTTAATTTTGACATATTGCTGTAAATTAATCAGTTTAACTTTTATAAGATATATATAAACAATAAATTTACAGATTTTAAACATATTAATTAGAACGGGAGGTATTCAATTTTTTCAAAAAATTAAAAAATTGAAAATTTCCAAATTTTATATTTTTTATTGTATATCTTTTAAACTTTCAGTAATTAAATATTACATGTTATTTTGTCATATTTTAACATAATTTTGAAAAAAATACTGTCCTGTAACTATAAGATGAAAGTATAAGTATAAAAATGTTTTTAATATAAAAAAATTGAAAAATTATAATTGAGAGACCAATTACTATCAAGCTTAATTCAGGAGTATTTTTGGGGTCTCTGATAAACTTTTGACTTCAAAATAATGGAATTTAGAATTATTTGTTTATCCAATTAATCAACAATTTTCAATTGCAAAAATTTCGAAAATATTAAAAATGGAGATTTTTATGATAAAATTGATATTGCAGAAATTCAAGAATACCTCTGTGATAAGATACTTGCATTATGCTACTGGGAAAAAACTTAAATAGTAAAAAGTTTTGTTATTTTAATTCTTGATTTAACTTTTAGGGATGTTTTGAGCATTATGTAAAGGCAAAAGTTAAACAAGGTGTCTATTATTATTTTTGTTTAACAAACTATCCGGTTTTTCCCAGCTTTGTCCAAATTTTTACAGGTGTATCTTTTCTCATCAAATATAATTTTCTTGAGAAGAATTAACATTAAATAAATCTACAAATGGCTACAAAAATTCACTCATTTTATGAAAATACTCTTCGACGGGTTTTTGTTTTTACTGATACTTTTAACAGGGGTTCTACCAACTGGAAAAAACGGGAAATATGCAGGAATTTAATTTAATTGGGAAAAACTGTGAATTCAGCCTGCAATATAGGTCTTATTTTAGATTTTAGCAATTATGATACAATTAATTGTGGATGGAAATTTTGTTTGGATATTTAAGAAGTAGTTATGTTGTAAATTTTGTTTATTATAAATCCATAATTTATTATACTCCCAGCTGATACAATTAGTTCGAATTGACTTCATTGTAACTCCAAAAACTGGTGGAAATTTTGGATTAACTTATAATACAATAATTAAATTTCTACAAATAATTGACAAACATTGTTCTCTGCATTTTAATTAATTAAAAATAAATTATTTGATGATAAAAAGTCCATCACTGATTTAAAATAGTAATATTTATCTAATGAAATAGTTAATGGTAGCTAATTATTATTTTTTCCGGTCAATTTAAATTCTCCGCTATTTCCCATTTTTCGAGACTGGTAGACACACGCTATTTAATGTATTAGAAGAAACTAAACCCGTCGAAGACGGGTACGACAGCTAGTTTATAATAACAATAATAATAATAATAATAATAATAATAATAATAATTTTTTTTTTTTTTTTTTTTTGCGTGGGAAGTGGAAAATCTGCTATAACCTTGGAGGCCTACTTCCAAGTCAGATACCTGGAGCCCGTACTCCTAGGTTATGTGGGGATGACCGCTCTTGTTCTGGCCGACCCACTAAAAACCACTCCCTTTTGAGACATATCTCCCCTGGCGGAACTGCCGTCAAGCTAACATCGCCAGTGGAGGTCTCCTTACCTACTTCCAGATCCAAAATTCTTAAACTAAGCGCTAGCGGAAGAGGGAGGTAGGTCCAGTTAAGGTCTCCTCCGTCTTCCGCGAGCGCCCAGCTGAGCTGCAGGAATTCTCCGATGGTGTTGTGACATCCTTCTGTCCTTTTCCTTGTCTGCATGACTTTGATGACAAGGACTCTATCTCACGCCATGAGTCTGCACTCTGTAACATAATTTGAAACCATGTTCTCGACCGTGACTTCAGTGCCCACGGCCGAAACATGGCTTCCCTAAGTCCACGCC